CTACCGATGAATATTTCCAATCTATACTTCCACTTTTCGACTAAACTTGGGTACCTCAAAATTATCGTGAACTGTGCTTTAACTTGTTCCGATGATCTATGCAGCGAGTTATAAGATCCTCAGCAAAGAGAGGCTAGCCTTGCATCGAGCTCACCCCGAAAAGATTGAGACCCAACAGGGAACTGAACGAATGGAGTGTTCAGACCTGTCACATTCGAATAACAGTGCCTATGAAACAGGTTGGAACTTCATTAAGAAAAGGCATGCTCTGCCTAGGAGAAATTGGAAAGTTCTTATGTTCATTTCAAAATTCATTTCTACCATAAGTTCTTCACACAGAGGGAGGGGCAAGGGGCTTACCTGAAAAAACGTCCCATTCGACCACGATTCAGCGCTTTCATTTCCTCTTGAGGCTGTTCTGGAAGCACTTCTTCGCGCGAATCCTATAAATGGTAATTTGTTGAATTCCTCTCTGAATACCTCACTTTGAGCTGCAAGATAGTCCGCAAGAGAAGGAACTACCTCGCTTGGAGTGCTGTTCTCGCTCACGCTGCTTTTGTATCGTGGAGACATTCTGCTTGCCGAGAAACTGTTCAGATTGTTCTTGGCTGAAAAGGAAAACATCGCTTGTCGTTGGAACAGCGACAGGTTGTCCCATAATCTCCTGCCGACACAAAAAATACATTTTCTAATTCCAAGTCCTCTCATCTTTGAACCTGTTGTCTGTTGTTCTTCAAATCGTTAGTTTTTACTTCTGCCTCGAGGTTTGTAGGTGGAAATATTTATTACGGCCGTGTAGCGTGGCTACACTTTGCGGTGGAAGTGAGGTGAGCTTACCTTTCGGATTTTGAGNATTTTTCGTGCATTCCTGATGGTACGTCAGAAACGCTAGAGCGGAAGAGGCGCTCGGTGGGGTAGTGTACAATCAACACGCTTTGAACCACTTTCAGGCCTTTGAAAACGACGAGTCCGTCGAAACGTCGGCCGGAATAAATATTTCCACCTACAAACCTCGAGGCAGAAGTGAAAACTAACGATTTGAAGAACATTTTCTAATCTTATGAGAACCATTAATCTTTCCACAGGCCTTACCAATTACTAACTACGGTCACTCACCTACTCTCAATGCTCTAGTTAGTGAGGAATTTCAGAAATGTGACGGAATATCAACAATAGAATGGCTGAGATTACTCGCTCAATGTGTTTAGTACAATTTATAAACTGTTAAAATCCTGTACCTCTACGTCTACTGTCATTTTCAAACTCCTTTTCACGAGCCCTTTTCTCGGCTTCCGCTTCTTTCGCGTAGATGTCAGTTGCCTGCAATTACAAAATTTATTACAAAAACATCAGTTATATCTGAAAACCGGAGTCGATTGCAAAGAGTTTGGCTTCTATTTAAATGTGTTCCGAACCTAAGATCTATCTTGACTCCTCAGGAACAAAGAAAGATTGATCTGAGGCGAGGATAGGCACGAGTAGTCCCAGAAAGTGGATCACCGTACAGCACTTTATTTCTCAGGACCAAAGCTCGTTTACTAGAGTTAATATAAACCCTCCCAATCTGCGCTGTTGCCAATCTGCACCTTCACCCGAAGTCATGAGTAGTACACTACTAAATGGTACTTTGAAATTCGAAGCTCACCTTGATACAGGGTAGACATGAATTCCTCCCTGCAAGTTCGACCTTAGCCGAGATCACCATTAGTCCAGCGAAGAAGGTGACCTTAAGAGATCGAGTCAGTGTTTTTGGAATTAGCTGAAGGCTGTACTAATCGCTTACCTGGTACAGCCAAGTGAAGAACATACAGGCCGATGTCATAGCACAAAATCCTTCGACAGCAATAATATCAGTGAAGGTGCCGACTCCAAACGATAACACCTGAAGTTTCAAGCTTAACACTGCATTTTCAAAGTAAAGGCAGCTACTTTTGGGATCTTTTTCCCCCTGTTTCTTCAGGCAAGATATTCTTTCGATTGTTAATGCAAAGTAATTCGGATCAAAGGACGTTTTCTCATAGTAAGACCTCTTGGAAAAGTCAATAACACATAAACAGTTTTCTATTCTTCCCATGAATATCATTTTTGCCAGCTACATACAAAATTTGAAAATTCATAAGAAATTTGAAGTAACTTAAATATTTTTCACAGCCTCACATCTGTAATTGAGGTGATGAAGATCGCAACTGAAGATTCGCTGATGGCTTCTACCATACGTTTCTTCAGAACAGAGTGTGAATTGCCTGAAATA